GGGGATTTGCGCTCTGGACTGATGGGAAGACAGGGATTCTTAAGGCATGCTTGATAGATGCATGTCTGTTGTCTCCACAAAAAGCCAAATGCATGTCTGTTGTCTCCACAAAAAGCCAAATGCATGCCAAAGCCAAATTGCATCGGTTGGTCTTTGATACAAGTTTGCCTGCGACGACAGATTAGATTTGCACGTCGAGGAAAACTTTCCTGTCCGCTTTTCCGGTGCTCGGCGATCGTTCCGAATTATCAATTGTCAATTCCGAAAGCCGAAGAGGAAGGCAAAAAAAGTGCAATTAAAAAAGCACAGAAAGCATTTGCATAAAAGACAAAGGGGCGATTCAGGAAAAACGCATCGATTGGGGGAACCTCGTATGTTTTAAAAACAATGGAGAAGAAATTGACCAATGAAGTAAAAGTTCCAGATTCATTCTAAATACGAGGAACGGTATACCATTTTCTCCTGGTCCTGGTGTGTCATATGCTTTAAGGGAAATTTAATCGACACGGTCGACAGTCCAATCGGACTCGTCCCGATCGAAAAGAAGCGTTCAACCAAGAAGGCACTCCCACGAGACGGCTGAGACCATCCCGGCACTGGAAGAACTGTGGGAGCGTCCGCTCAGCAGAAAGGGATCCTTATAGGGATTTTTGCCTTTTAAAAAAGGGTTGAGGCAGCGTGAAACCGATGGCGAGAGATTCTTAGCCGTTATGAGTCCCTTCCCTTACGGAAATGTCCTATAGGAAACCTATAGACTTTCCTGTAGGTTTTTCAAACACGATAAACCTTATGGATCCCTATAGGGTCTTATAGGACTCCTGGCCTATAGGATTCGGGGAGGATTTTTTGGGTTTCGAAACCCAGGCATTACGACGGAAAAGGCGACCGGGGTCAATATTGGCGCAGCATTTGGTGTAGATCAATCACCGATAAGGGGTTTTCCCATGGTAGGAACACTTGCATTACTGATACTAGTCTTGCCCGGGTCTGCATAATTTATTGCCCAGACCACCATCTGTCGCCCGATTGCGCGTCCACTCCCTTCGGTAGAGAGAAGTATCAGTCTTCTCTCAACCTAAGCAAACAGAAGTCAAAACCTGCGAGCACCTCTCTTTACTGAAATTTCTTTCGAATAGAATATTCAAAGGCTTTTCAAAGGCTTTCAAAGGGAAAAGGAGAATTTTTCAGACCTGGACTCCATGATTCTATCTGGAAGATGGGAATGACAAATAAAGAAGTGTCGAAGTTTATTGACTGCTACAATGAGGCAAGGCGAGACATTTGGGGATTTTACAAAACTATCTTGTGAGAGATGATTCTATGGGTAAGGAGAGGGTTTTTTAGTGTCCTTTGAGAAATGCGAGAACCCAATCCCTCCATCTAGTGGCGAAGAGGAGAACTTCAAACGGAACCCTATAGGCCTATAGGGTTCCGTTTCCTCTTCTTCCAATTCCTCCAAATGAAGACAAATGCACGGCCTGGTTTGATTCACAGGAAACCTTTCTTGAAAGGAAATGTATGTGTCCAAAAGATTATTCGAAAAAAAAATTATTGTCGACATGTCGGAGGGATATTCCAAAAAGTAATAGGTTTGTAACCTGCAATTTACTTTGCCTTGTACATCATTGCATTCCTGTAGAGAGAGAGAGGGAGAGAGAATATTGACACGTTTGCTAACATTAGACCTAAAATACCGAAATTACAAGTCAAGTAGCTTGTTTTATTACCTGTAAAACTTCAAATCTCTCGTTAAACCCATGTTCGAAAGACTCATTAAGAGGAAAATAAATTGTATTCCTGAGACGATGAAAATAAAAGAAATTATTGTTTCTAATATGGTTAAAAATAGAAAGGGATCATTACTCGGAAAGAGAAAGGAGGGAAAAGTGGAAAGAAAACGATCATGGTGCCTAATAACAAGAACGGTAATTTTTTTTCACTCGCTTCGGGGAAGCTCTCTCCCACTCCTCCGGTTCTAGTTTAATTCCTCGATGGCTAGTGGGCAGCGATAAGCTGGTGTGTCGGTTTCGTTCTGATTTCGGCCATGAAAGAGTCCGTTTCCGAAGTGGGAACGACTCGGAGATGTTGAAGGCTGAGTTTTCCATTCATATTCTGGGAGTTTAATGCAAATTGCTATGCAACACATAGAATGAATTAGCCCTTACGGAAATGTACTATAGGAAACCTTTCGAAAACCACGTACGAAAATGGGTGGACCCCATCCAAATGGAGTTTTACCCTATAGGCCTATAGGGTTCCGTATAAGTCCTATAGGGAACCCTATAGGTCCCATAGGGAACCCTATAGGTCCCATAGGGAACCCTATAGGTCCCATAGGGAACCCTATAGGTCCCATAGGGAACCCTATAGGTCCTATAGGGAACCCTACAGGTTTTATGGGGAACCCTATGGGTCCTATACAGAGCCATTTGGGTCCTATAGGGAACCTATAGGCCTTATGCGGAACCCTATTGGTTCTATAGGGGGCTCTATAGGTTCTATAGGGAACTCTATAGGTTCTATAGGGGACTCTATAGGTCCCGAAGTGAACTCTATGGGGCATATAGGAACCTATAAGATTCCTTTAGGTTCCCATAGGATTCCTTTAGGTTCCCATAGGATTCCTTTAGGTTCCCATAGGATTCCTTTAGGTTCCTATGGGATTCCTTTAGGTTCCCATAGGATTCCTTTAGGTTCCCATAGGATTCCTTTAGGTTCCATGTAATTCCTTTAGGTACTTATAGCATTCTTATAGGAATATATAGGAATCCTATAATACATTTTCATAAGGGAGTTCACATACCATTCATCGTTATTAATGTGACATGTACCACCCCTACCACAATTCCCAGTCTTTTTTTCTCATTCATATTCCCCATTGAGAAAGGAAGCAGTGCGAGTCGAGGAACATGCGCAGCCTGCAACGCGAGCAGCCCGGACTGACTGGAGGTCGAGCGGGTCCATCCACCATTCAGTCACTGGTTTCCCAACGAGAAAGGAAAATTCCGGAGCATCAATTGAACTCCATTAACGACTGCGTGGATTTATGGTAATTGAAAACGTGAAGAAGGTAGCTGGCCCGAGCCTTTTGACCGCTTGGGATATGCGCGGATGCATGTATGCTCTTTTGTCATTTGTTGAACTGACATAACTCACTGTTCCATGTCGTTTTTTATCGGCTGGAGGAGCGCTCTAAAAATTCGTCTCCTCGGCCTCAAAAACTTGCGATGATGATATCGTCGGCGAGAAATTCATTTTAAAAATATGAAAGCAATCGTGTAACATGGAAACCAGTCATTCGCCACCCCAAGACGGAACGAGACGGAACTTGCGGTTCGTTCTTTGTACTCCGATGAGTCCTAATTGGAATCTTAAGAATTAATTTCATATTTTCAGTATGTCTAAGTGAAAAAATGCCGTCTTTTTCGTTTTTTTTTTATATCCCCCCTGTCCGACCTTTCCACAGAAACCAAAGGTGCACCTTTGTTTTGTTCCTATCCCATTTGACGTGCTAAATCTGAAAACACAACACTGAATTTGATTTTTTTTTTAATCTCAATTTTCCTCATCTCGTCCCAGTTACAGGCTTTAGGATATGTGCTCTCTTGCAGTTTCAATTTCTTCACGAATTTCTTCATCGTACTGGCCACAAAATGTCTCATGCCATTTTTCGACTCATCCATCGGCAGTTGCCCAAACAACGGGTTTTTCCCATTTTTGATGATGCTACCAGCATGTTCGGAACGCCTTGTCCCCCCTCGAGACCCAATGAAGCCTCATCGACGTCGTCTGCGTTTTGGCAAAGGAAAGTACTATCTACGACAGTCAGTGCCATTGTTACCGTTGCAAGTAGTGATCTGTTTAATGGCAAAATTGTACCTTGGCTGGTACTGTAATTCCTTTCGGATAGTCGATTGTCTAGATGATTGACGTTTGAAAATGTACCCTCTAAGGTATCAGTATATAATGCAACAATACTCAGTACATACGACAGTACTTAGTGACCCTGAGAGTATTTCGCCCTAATCCTCTACTCTGCTGCAAATATGTGGCTTTCGCATCGCAGTAAGGCCAATAATCCAAGTGAGAGGTTGTATTTACCCTATTTACCCCTGAAGAGACGCTTCAGTTCCAGTCAACTATGAGCTGGTGGTTGTTACCACTAATTATTTATTTAATTATTTAAGTAAAATATTAGGTTAATACAATAGCGAAATATTCGCATGCTGGCTAATGAAGGAGGCCAGAAAACTTTACAGTTATAGCAATAAATTCTAGGATTTTCTCACATTCTTTCCCTTTCTGGTTTAAACAGTGAATAAAGAAAGGGTTGTCAGGGACCGGCATGTTTAAATAAACATTGGCTTGGAGTGGCGCTTGAAAATCAGCTCCTTGTAAGCAGCATGCGCCGCATATATAATCTAGGAAGCCCGATGAATCTCCCTCGCTGTTGCCACCATGATCGCGAGTCCATTTAAGCAACCTATGACCACCCCTCAATAAATGTATCGGGGGGATTCAATATCTAAGAATTTTGATCGGAAAAAGACCATAACTGGCGAGGTTTACTTTTTTTTCTTGGTTACGGAAATCTGTACCTATTCGTTCCCAAGGCATTTAAAAGATCGTTCTTGCCTTTTTTTTTATCCGGAACGCAGAGCGATCATGGGATCGGCAATCGGAACGCGACGAGGTGCAGTTGGCCCTCAAGGGCCGTCTGTGCTGATGATGCGGTGCCTCTGTCTTTTCTCGATTGCATCGTCGGCAGTCGAGAAGCTTCTTATGCTGAGGAATCCGATTTCTAAGTGTTGTGACGATGTTCACTTCTCTGTCTCTTCTTCTCCCCAATATGGAGCCAAGATTCACCTTATTGCTTTCGTTCACGTGTTTTTCTGAGTGAAATTGAGAAATTTGCTAATGAAATTGTCAAATGCACCTGATTGCCCTAGCAGTTTCATCCTTCTGTGGGATTCCATTTCACGGAAATAGCTGTGAGTGACCAGAAAAATACATTTTATTTTGACTTGGCTGCATTTCACAGACAAAAGAGATCAGAATAGTATTTCTTGGGGTTCTCAGCATCAAGTTGAGGAACTAATACATCAGTAACAGGATATAAAAATAAGTAGGGAAGCGCGGACAGTCCAGTTAAGTCAAGTGACGAGAGAGGAGGCTCAGTGACGGGTTGAGTCAGACGGAGGTGTAAGCAGCGTCGTATCCATCGCGAATGGTGAGGAAGCGGTCGTGCCCAAGTTTGTATTGAAGCCTTGGGTTAAAGTGCGAAAGCGGACCTCCGTAGGCAGGGAGGCCTGCCGCCAGCTGGAGGACCAGGGCCAGGCAGAGCAATGCAGCCATCCAGAACAGGACCTGTAATCAGGTAAAAGTGGCAAGTCTTAATCGTCATTCACCCAACATCTACTACGGCGTTGTTGTTTTTAGATTTCATACTTTTCAAACTACAAATCCCCCAAAAGAAAATGGTTCAAACCCTCTCATTAGTTAAATAGGACTTTTACGTCCCTTGTGTAACTTTCGTCGGGTTTCTATGGCTAAACTAGAGCGTTTTGAGTGGAAGCAGTGAGGAATCTCCCTCTGTAAAAATCCTTTACATGGCACACTAAGCGCTCCATCCTGTCATCAATTCAACAATTGAAACTGGTTCTCCTCCGCTAATGCTTGCAAGTACGAGAAACCTATGGTTTTTGGTTCGGAGCCCCTTCATGTATTAATACATTGGTGATTGATGCCGCCTCTTCCAGTGAGGAAAAAAAATTACGAAAGAGCAGCCGCTATCTGAGCGCCTTCAGCAGTAACTCAGCCAATATTGGAATTGTTGAAGAATTAAAAAAGTCCTCAATAAATAAGACCTCAGTAGATTACCTCCGTCAACGATTGCACAATGTCAATATTATCACCGTCACTGTTGTCAGAAGGCGCTCATATCCGTGCTTGTCTTCACGCTCATCTTCAACGAAAGAGTGGGCCCCTCGATTATACTCTCGGCATAGTCAGAAGAGAAAATGACATACCTTCATATCTATCGATGGGGAGAAGAGCACGGAGCGGCAGGAGTGCACTGTGCAGACTGATTCTTCCTTCCTTGCTCGAGCAAGGGATGATGCCTCCTTTTATGGCCCCTCGCCCACAGATCTCCGAGATCTCCGCCGCGTCCGCTTTCGAGGAAAGGCGAGCGCGCGAACGGGTTCAGTTGTTTGTCACCAGGAAAGTGGAATCGATTCCTGGAGATGTATCGCTAATCTCGTTCTCGATGCATGTTTTTTCATCCATTCCGAGATATCAGCGCAGAACTTATTCTGCTCTCTTCCGTGGAATTCTTTCAGAAGGGAAACCCTATCGCCATCATCGCTGCATGAAATACATGAATCAACAAATTAGGGCGACCCAACAGAGCCGCTTTTGAACATCAATCACTGTCTACGGACGAGGCAGCATGCATACATGCATCAAATGTCAACATCACCCCTTCCCCTCCCACCCTTCGGAATAAACTTGAACATTCACGAAATGAAGCGCTGTCACTGTCACTGATCGTCATTGCCAGAAAAAACCAGAGAACCAGGAAAGCATAAAGTGCCGAATTATTAAATAAAAAAATCTGCCATAAAATTCAACCACGCAAAGGTTCGTGGCGAAAGGGGCTTCCATTCAGCGTACCAGGAATGAAATTATGCATTGGCTTAAAATTTCCTTATTCCATAATTCCTCTCGCCTGCTGGGGAACTCGCCTGGATTAGGATCAAGTCGCTTCTCAAAAGTCGCAAAAATGCATCAGCGCAGAAGGTAAGGCAACGGGGAAGCCAAAGAAGTTCCAGGTGAGCATCGGGTCTTGATTGCACCACTCGACTCGTGACTCATCATCATGCATGGCAATTTTTTTCTCATTCTTTGCCTCATTTATTGGTCGGATGCCAGTGTGAGTTGGAGAACTTGTGCTAAAAGTTAAAATTTACCGAGTATTTTCAAGGAATTCCCATATTTCTGGAATTCCCTTTTGACCGTTAACGAGGGCCCCGAGGGCGAGAGCATGCGAAAGGGAAACGATTCGTAACGTCGTCGTTCGCAGGTGACGTAATATTCGCAGAGGTGCGTCTCGGCTTCCGCGAACTTTAGAGGCCCCATCATGAATGCATCTTCGTCTCTCTACGCCTGTTTCCACGCTATCGCCTTTCTCGTTCCCTTCCCCTCGGCTGGGCGACACAGGCCAGATGTGTCGGATGCGGAGGCATGACACATGTCATTTTGGACCCTACACTGAATCTGGGAGGCAGAGAAGTGACGTCCCCTTTAAAAAAAAAATGTCATTACCGGCTGCTGTAGCCGGGTCTTCCACCTCATTGATTTTTTCCCTTTGGCATATCTCCTCGCAGGGTGTGCCAAATGGAACCACATAAGGAAAACTGGATAGTAAGTTTTTCTTTCGTTAGACCAGGACCCCAAACGAGAAAAGGAGCGGCTCGTTTTCTTTTCTCTCATCTCCAAGTCTTGCTGGACTTATGCAATGAAAACTTTTGTTATTTTTTCAAAAGCAAACATTTTTAAATCGAGCAGCGGTTTCCGACTCCTCCTTTCTCGGTGCCGCCTTTTGCCTCGCTAAGAATCCCTTTTGCTGATGCTAATTCAGTTCCAGTGGTAATGTGGTAATGACCCACATGTTCAATGGTAATGACCCACATGTTCAATGGTAATGACCCACAACTGCACCGTTCTGTTCCGTTCCCTCGACTGCTCCCCACGGCCAAGTCAAGAAGTTGATCCGTTCCATCGATCGATCGGGCCTTCCCGGCAGAAACAACAATGTTTGTTTATCGTAAACACTTGTTTATTCCGAAAATCCAATTGTACGCGGCAGCTCGATCGGGAAATTTGAGAGCAGACTGCATGCCTAATTTCCCGGAAATCAACCGATAGGCACTGAAAACTCCATTACGGCATGGCACGATTGCATTCCCATGGAAAATTCAGGTTAAAATTATTAAAATCCTTCATATCATTTATCAAAATATCATTTATCAAAATATCAATATCATTTTCCCACTGCACTCTTTGGTCCCCTTCGGGGAATTCAGAATTAAATCTGAGTTTGACAGCAATGATGAGATTCATAAGTAGCGAAATAAACAGTTTCTCTGCCTTCCAAGGGAAATTCATACAGTAGATAGAGAACTACGCCATTACAAACGAAGTCTGTAATGGCGTGGTTCTCGTTCCTCGAGCTCTGAGAGGTTTTTAGTCTGTAGTCGACCGAAGTTCCAATCGATCGCTCCCGGGGGAACACTGCATAAACAAATAAATGCGAATATGGCTACGGCTATTAATACTTGATCGACATCCCCCCGAGACGCAGTCGAAGGAAAACCCCCGGATCGATCTCGAAACGCGGAAAACGCCCACATTGCCCTGACGAGACTTGACCGAGCGACATCCTCGACGCGGAGGAGGCAGACGCTTTGACCACAGCGGACGACATGGCGTGGGTGAGGACGTTCTGCGGCTGCATTTCCACCAGGAAGGGGGCCATCGTCATCGCGAGCCTTGCCCTCGTAAGTGCATCGATGAATGCAGGATCTCCTGAGAGTACCGAAAGTACCGAGAGTACCGAGAGTACTGAAAGTACTGAAAGTACTGAAAGTACTGAAAGTACTGAAAGTACTAAAAGTACTGAAAGTACTGAAAGTACTGAGTATCCTTGATCCTGAGCGTGACCCTGTCTCATGGATCTTCCTCCTTATTGCAGACTCTCTCTATCCCGGTCGTGATCTCTCTCGGCAGTGACTTTCGACGCATCTCTGCTTATCACCAAGACCACTCTGCTACTCTGCGGTATTTCATTTTTCTCTCACTCATCACTTAATTATATGGATTTTTTTCCCCCTGGATTCGAAAATGTTTTGGGTTGATTTTCAGGGCCTACAGGAAGATGCTGATCTTCGCCACCACTCTGATCGTGGTATACGCCATGAGCTCTTTGATTCTGATTTTCGCTGCGCAGAAGGTGAGCCGACGACCTCGGGGTCCCTTCATTCGCTCATCAGTTGCCAGGTCGCGGGTTTCGCCATTGTTTCGCGGCGACTGCCAGTTGCCTTATGAAGGGGTATGAGCAAAAATCTGATCGGATATCAAAGGCACGAAGGCTAAATTCTTTCATTAAAATATTTTTTTTTACTTAAAATTTTATTTAAATATGTTATTTCTGTCGTTCTATTTTCGCCGAACGTTCGAAGATACGTATTACTGAGTATACAATGCACAATACTCCTGCGTGGTCTCTCCTTGAATATTTGGGTACAAACCAGGTTTGAACAACGTTGAGTTTTAGGAATCGTATGCATTTTTTTTTTTTTTTGCTCTCCATTCACATGTGGATGCTGGGGGGCTTTTCTTGAGAGGGTTTCTCTGCATCAGGACGTGAGGATGATGCACGTGCCGTGGATGGTCGTGCATCCGGTGGTCACGGTGGGTCTCGTGACGGTCATGGCTTATGTCGCGGCCTTGCTCGGGAGGAGCGCGACCGCGGCCAATGAGATGAAGGCGGTGCAGACCGTCTTCTGGATCTTCGTCTGTCTCTGTGAGTGAATCCTTCACAGAGAAAGAATGACGTGAGTGTCTTTTTCGAGGAATGCATCCTTCGCGGCAGGGATCATGAGTTACCTCTGGGTGGTAGTGGTGAGCAATTACCAGAAGCTGGGCAATGCTCAGGACGGAGACGACGACCTCCCGGCCGACACGACCGCCTGGTCGCTCGGGAAGTGGCAACTCCCCGACGGGCAACTGAAGCGGAGGTCGCGGAAGCAGAACATCCTGGTCGCCCCCGCGTCGACCGAGCCGTAGTCGCCGCGGACATAGCGGAGGCGCTGCGGATGTGCGCGTTTTTTCTCTTGGATGTCTAGTTTTTCGGTTTGCCTTTGGGAACTCCAAGAATGGTTTCAAAATGGGTTTTAGGGTGATTTTCATAACTGGGATTTTCGAGCACTGTAGAGTTTTCTTTTTGTTTGTTTCTTGTTTTTTTTGTTGTTTTTTTTTTCTTTTTTTTTTTTTTTAAAGTGGAGGCATTTCAAGGATGTCCAGTCATTCTGCCTTTTTTGAGGGGAGGAGGAATCGAATTTTTTGAATAATTGGTTTCACTCCCAATCGCCATTTCCGAAGATGCAGCCTCCGGCGGGAAAGGAACTTAGGAATCTTAAAGAGAGCTGGACCTTCGAATCACAATTTCTACTTCTGCAAAAATTTTTTTGGCAAAAAATTTTATACTCTGGCAAAGGCTCCAAAATTTACACGAATAAATATTTATGTATTATTTGTATATATTCACGGAGGAAAAATAAAGACTTTCTTCAAATTTGAAGGAATTTTAAAACTTGGGTTAGGTTGGGTCAAATTTATTTGCAATTTCAAGCTGTACTCCGAATAAAGGCGTTCTGCAAATAATTTCTGCAACAATTAAGATATTTTCTTTTCCAATACATGATTTCAATAAATCACCCGCATTTCAGCTTCACCCTCGTCGTTGATTTTGAATTTCTGACGATTTTCATTGCATCCCTCTGGTAAGTACCGCATAAGTACTTATCAGAGGGATGCAATGCTGCATAAGTACCGGAAAATGGTACTTCTTTTCAGTTCAAGGAACTACGGAATTCGCTCTAAGTTGGAACTTTGCGCCCGTGAAGGGCCAAGTATCTTAAAATGACGGATGATCTTGTAAACTAAATTGACCGATGCCCTTAAAATAATCTGATAATTAAAAATGGACCTAAAATTGGGCCATAAAAATGGACTTTTAACCTTTAGGGCGAAAGCCAGGGAAAGATAATTTAACACGAGCGGATAATCGGAGAGAAAAAATGTCCGGCTTCGATCCGGCCTCGACCCACAGACAGGACAAGGACTAAGGAGGCGACTGATGACAAATTATAAAGCAGTGTTCAAACAACAAGGAAACAACAAGTATTTAGTTAAAGTTAAATTAAATATCAAAAAGTGTCGCAGATAATGAAGGAAGGAGGTGTTGAGGAAGACTTGAGGGGAAACGAAGAGGGCGAATAGGTCTTGGCGGAATCGTTCAACAAGTTCCTGGAGACTTCGAAAGCCGGCAGACAGGATGGCGTGACCGGAAAGGGGGCCGCCCCCCCCCCCCCCCATCCCAACGTTGTGGTCGAACGCGACCTCCNCTTCCCGAGCGACCAGGCGGTCGTGTCGGCCGGGAGGTCGTCGTCTCCGTCCTGAGCATTGCCCAGCTTCTGGTAATTGCTCACCACTACCACCCAGAGGTAACTCATGATCCCTGCCGCGAAGGATGCATTCCTCGAAAAAGACACTCACGTCATTCTTTCTCTGTGAAGGATTCACTCACAGAGACAGACGAAGATCCAGAAGACGGTCTGCACCGCCTTCATCTCATTGGCCGCGGTCGCGCTCCTCCCGAGCAAGGCCGCGACATAAGCCATGACCGTCACGAGACCCACCGTGACCACCGGATGCACGACCATCCACGGCACGTGCATCATCCTCACGTCCTGATGCAGAGGCCTTCGCGGGCACAAACTTTGACATGGGTGTAGTCCATGCATGACCGCGGGCGCGAAAGATCTCCGCGGGAGCCCTATGGCTCTACTTTAGGGAAATTATTAATACTTTTACTCATTTGACACTGGGATGGGATCGGGATGCCTCGTTCTTGAGGTGCTCTCCGAAGCTGCAGCCAACCAGGAACCAAACGGAGAAAAAGGCGAGAAGGAGCAACATGTCGAATCCGGATGATTCCAAGGACTTCAACTCGAAGAGGGCAGAGCAGACGCGAAATACGAAGCTGTTAAGGTTTGAACGGCATGGGGAAAAATTGTGTTCTCGGCGACGGCGGGCGACGGCGTGCGACGACGGGCGACGGTGGGCGACGGCGGGCGACGACGAGACTCGACCGAGTCGCGGATGGCCTCCAACATGTCGGCCGCATCCTCTGCGTAGTCGCAGAGGAGGTCGCGTTCGACCACAACGTTGGGATGGGTTGTCTCGAGGCAGAATGCCGAAGGAACAGCCACAGTGAACAAATCTCCTTTTCCTCCCCTTTTCCTCTCCTTTTCCTCCCCTTTTCCTCTCCTTTTCCTCCCCTTTTCCTCCCCTTTTCCTCTCCTTTTCCTCCCCTTTTCCTCCCTTTTTCCTCCCCTTTTCCTCCCTTTTTCCTCCCCTTTTCCCCCCTTTTGTTAGTGGAAGAGCAGAAAAGAGTAGCAAATTTAACGAATTTTCCTCTCTCATCACTCTCATCTGAGTAAAATGGAGAAACCAGAGTTCACGCCTGCTTTTTCCCCTAGCATTTTACCATTTCTTCCCTTCCCCTTACAGTATGTATCTCACCCTTCTTACTTGCTTCGTGCCCAGAAGCTCATTCACATTTTTTCGCAACAGTTTACTTCTCAGTCTCCCTTTTTTCCTACCTACGTTTGTTTCTTACCTGGATATGCAAAGAAATTACAAGGGACAACAGGTAATGTCTGAATAATAATTCATAATAATTCACTTCGCAAAAAAGGATCTAAAAACAACTCCCATGGAAAACAAGACTTAGTTGCATGTATCCCGGAAGATACAATTCTGTAATATCCGATTTACTGGTATAAAAATTCAAACATGGCGGTTTTTTTCCGCACCCCGGTATTCGTGCTTCAATCCCATTCCTCTAGGAATGACGAATGCAGTCCTTAAATCAGAACTTGGAACGCGACGAGGAGCAGTTGGCCTTCACAGTGTATGCTTTTCTCTTTCACTACGATTTTTTAAATAATGTTTTTAAAGTGATAATGCAAAGAAACTGAAGTTTTTTCTTCTGCTCTTCAGTCTGCTGTGATTATTCACGGCGGGAAAGACCACGGAAAAATCAAAGAAAAAGGATAGGCAGGATTATGAATTCCATCTTAATCCCATATAATCCCCTCCCTGATCAAGTTCCCCCTACGACAAATCATAGAGCCATCAGATGCATGATCAACGAAATCATGCATCCTGGCAAGGTGAGATGGCTCATCTCATTGCCCTAGAATAATCAGCCGGATGCGTGATGGAATCGGGTCTAAATTTGAGTTGCTTGAAAAAATATTTTTTATTTGGAAATCACAGCATTTTCCATAAAGAATACGTTAGAAAAATATTCTTTGCTAGTCGAACTTCCACTTGACGAACGAAGAAATTAATAATACAAGAAAGCATTGGCCATTGGCTTATATAGCCAATGGACAAGCGCAGACAGTCCAGTTAGACAGAGGTGTAAGCCGGGTCGTATCCATCGCGGACGGTGAGGAAGCGGTCGAATCCCTTTTTGTACTGCAATCTTGGGTTGAAGCTGGACGGCGATCCCCCGGGAGCAGGGAGGCCTGCGACCAGCTGGAGGAACAGGGCCAGGCAGAGCAATGCAGCCGTCCAGAACAGGACCTGGAATTATGGGGGAAAGGGCAAGTCTTATCTTACCCAACATTTCCTTTGGTGTGCTGGTATTCTATGAGGGAAACGTGCGCTTCCACTATAAATTAATAAAATGTAAAATATATAAAAATAAATGAAAAATTTAATGAGGTTGCCCTATGTATGAACTAACAATGCTTTTATCGATGAATATATCAATAGATCTGAGAGGAAGTTCTGTATGTAAGAAGAGGATATATCTAAATATATATATATATTATCTCTTGTCCTCAGACTTTTCAGATGGTTCACGACAAAACTGCCTCAGAACCTAAGTCGAACATCTCAAGTAATTTAAATGCTGAGATTTTAGGCGTTACGGACCAAAACCTCACCATCATTATTAGCTATTTTTCGGGAAGAAGGGTACGAAACAAACTGCAACCATCGTTACGCCTACAGATTGAGGAGTGAAATTCAATTCTCAGCAATTCAAAGAAACAGTTACTTTGTCTCATTTGGTCTCATCTGGATCTGATTTTAATGCTTACCAGATTTGTTAGAGAATCATTGCCAACGAAAAAATACAGGTTTATACGTGTTCGTGATGGGAATGAACCTACACTGCATATCGACTCCAATATCCCCTCACAAGTCAGATGAGAGTCAGGGAGACATACCTTCATGGCTATCGATGAGGAGATGAGCGCGGAACGGCAGGAATGATATGTGCGGACTGATTCTCTCTTCCCTACTCGAGCAAGGGATGGTGCCTCCTTTTATTTCCTCTATATAGATTTCTGAGATCTCCAAAGGGTATGGGTTCAGCTGTTAGTCACTGGATGCAATCGATTCCTAAAGATTTGTTTTTAATCTACGGTTCCATCGGGTTTGCATCATGCTGGGGGAAAGGTTTTTATTATTATTAAAGTGTGTATACATTTTTTTTGAGACACCCTGTATTTAAGATCTAGCTTCACACCCCTTCCTCCCCCTCCTCCCTCCGGCTTCGCACCCAAGTTAGTCTAACGGAGGGACCTGTGGATTCCACCAACCGTTCCCCACCCACACACCGTCTACTGACAACTTATACTCCTCTCCCCTTATTTCGTCAGTATTATCTAGAGCGGCGCACTTCTTATAAGGTCCACTACAGGACTGAACATTTTCCCAACTTGCTTAATATGATTTCGACAATTTTTCAGCCGACACCAGCTCCGCTGCGTTTAGCGTCGAAGTCCACAGAAAAGGTGTATAACTGAGCTGAAAGGGACTGCCTGTGCCTGCATCCAGTATCTCTCCCTGTGGCGGTGAGGCAGTTTGGAAACCTGAAAAAGTTGAATGCACACGGGCAATCGTCCACGATGAGGGTTCATTCCACTATCGGATTTTATTGAACAGCCACTCTGAATTGCAGAACAGAGATATCTCACCTCTTCGTAACCTCACGATTGGTGGCGTTGACAGCTGCCATCAAGTACGGGGAAAGCGTATGGCATGTGCTCCGCACACTTTTTAGATTTATTTTTGCGTTCGTTGAGTCACGTGCAAAGCTTATTAAAGCATTACCACTCGATAGTTAGAATCGCGGTCTCTATAGGCAACTGCGTAACTCGGTAATTCATTGTAGTCTCGAGACAGCTAATTGCTAATCAAGGTCTGAAGCTGAAAATCATGAGCAATTGCTGTGTCATGGCTCCAAACGTTCCCTCATCGGAGCAGAGGTGACTTCACAAACTGCGCGATTCTGTGGGACACAAAGACAAAATGAGCAGGAAAATCGCGAGATGTTCTCTTACGGATGCGATAAAACGGTTTGCGTGCATTGGTATAGCTCTATCTTCAATTCCGTTATTGTCATTAGGTGTATGGAAGCGAATGTATTCAATCACAGGATTGAAAACCTCTTTGACCATATTGTCTGGCAGAACCATCTAGTTTGCACATGCCCCCACGATTGGCACTTCAAGTGACAAACGCTTTGCATAGCGAGTAAGCAACTGCGTGTGAATATGTAGCATGTATCTGGAGAGCGCCATCAGAAATCCGTTGTGCAGCGAACAAATATAGCTAGAGTAGGCTCCTTTTAACAATGAGGGCAAGGGAAATAACATGAAAACGTCAGATACACCGGTAAGGCATACATAGGGCCCAAAAGGCATTAATATTTCAGTTCAATCCTAACGGCGCGAATGATAAACGAATCCGATACACTACTGATGCAGAGTGCAGGGAGGAGCAGACGACGTCGATGACGCGTCGGACCATTTCCTCAAACAGACATCATTCCGGGGAATCGGTCCCCAGACTCCCAGAGCTAGTCAGACCGCAATGCAACCAACCGAGTGGTGCCTCTCGAGGTGACCTTCCTAGTGCTCTCTCGCTTCGTATAAGCTCGATTCTGTTTCTGAGGTGTTCCAAACGACCTTCGTATAGTTCAAGGTAGCCAGTTTCAACCCAGGAAAACCGCAACTTGAGTCAGTGCATTGTGGCTGTCGTCAGTGACTTACTCAGTGGTCCGATGCCCTCATATTTTAATCGACCAGTGAACGTTGTTAAACTGATACGCGGGACAGTATTAAAATAACAAACATAGTGTTTTTTTACGAATTCATTAATGGGGGAAGATTTCACCAGGCTATTATTTGTAGAAAATTAAGGGAAGAAGTGTGGAATAGCCCATGTGGTCTCCTCAGGGAACCGGCATGCGCGCAAAATGGCGGGAGGCTTACTACGCATTGTCGAAGGGTGCGACTAGTCTCGCCTTGTCGTTCCGTTCATTCGAGACCTCTGCCGGTGCTTCCGGTGAATCATTTCCCTGGAAGTTACGCTATTCAGATTACGGTTTTTGAATGCCGGTAGACAAATTCCGCTTCTGTCCTTATGGCCTGGACATTCTTACTGGTCCTGTTTGCTGTGTGTGGGCTTAGGATTGACTTAATTTTGCGGTATTAGCTGTAAGCCTGTCAGTTTCATCTCGATGAACGCTCCGTTTCAGGCGTTCAGCACTCGTTCCTGGTAAGCATACGACTAGAATGAACTCAGGCAAAGCCTATACTAATGTTAGATAGGTCTCCTAATATTATTTTTGCTATTGCTCTCTAGCTGTGGAGTTCGTGGTACTTGATACCCCCAAGATCGGCTTGACGTCAGACCTAGGATTACATGTATTGCATAGTACTTGGCGTCCTCAGAAACGACTGAGAACCATTAGCCTATAAATTTAAGGCTAGTAAGGTATGGGTGGAGGTGTGTTGAGGGCCTGCATTTAAATTTGGAAGCTTTTAGGTTTGTCTTAAGGCAGATGTGGCTTAGGTCTCTACCTAAAGCTTCTTTTTGACAAGTCTTCTCCATTATGTGGTTTTACCTGAACAGCAGGTACTAAAATAGTAATAGTTAAAATTACTAGTATATTGATCAAATATTGTGCTACTTATTGGAGAAAATTAACCCAATATTGGTGGAGGCAAATTCTGAATTGCATGACAAATGAAGGCATTCAGGTTTGATTAAGGGGACTAGCTTCCTTAGTGTTTGTAATCCAAAGTACAAAGCAATGTAGTAATCTGAAACTGAAATTTATTTTGCTGATGAGAAACAAAATGGTCTGTGAGCACACCTGAGAAATGATCTAGTGTAGTTTTCTGTGTTTTAATTGATACTCTGTTGAGTGTCGATTAGTTGGTTGGCATAGACTTTAGTTATTTTGAAAGCTAAAAATTTATTGCATATCTGCCTTTATTCTTAAGTAAAGAACTCCAATATGGCCTTTCTAACCAGGCCTCAGTTAAGTCAAGGAACTGCACTTGCCATCTGAGTGGATTCCATGTTCATTGCCTCACAGATTGTCCAAGCATGTCTAGGTCTAGTTCATATTCATCTTTGTCTTCACCTTCACCAGGCCTGTTGCATGAGCCACCAGAAAGTCCATATCATTATGGGCTTAGCTGAAGTTTGGCATGCCCTGCACCTTTGAATGTCGTGCTTGAGCCTAGGTCATTCTTGTCTAACTAGGTTAGGCTGAGTTGCACTCACTCCTCTATTGAGGTCTCTGAAACATGCTTACCTGAATGCTATCATAAGATAGTTGGAAGACTGTACATGTTGCCTTCCAAGTTTATTCTAGTGTAGGGTAGCTGAAGGCATGGAGCTGGTATTAGTGAGGGTCTTGTAAAAGTGGAAGTGAAGGTGGTCAAATGGTTAGATCCATTGTGAGCTCAGAAGCTGCTGTCATTGTGTTATGATCCCAAAATTGTAAAATTGATGCTGAACAGTACTTCCTTTAATAGCTAGTGTCGTGCACAACCTGTTAGAATAATACTTACGCTCCTGGTTTTGACTTGTACCTATCATGTAGATCTAAGTCTTCCCAAATGTGGGATTTCCTTCAAATAATGCTATTTTGAACCTTGGGAAAAGTCAAGAATGTTTCACTAATCCTCATGGTTCAATCTTTAGTGAAGGGGCTGCAGTACATGAAGGGGTTATGGATTTCTGTCACTCAACATAAGTGTTGCTTAATCTTATTGCTGAAGTTAAAATACATGCTTGTCTCTCTTGTTTTTTCAGTGTTCTATGAACCTCTTTGTTTCAGACTTGTGATCATTGTGATATTTAAGTTAAGGGTGTGTTTGTATCCTCTGCCATATTCACATTCACAATGACCGACAAAGAGGAATTGGTTCAGAGGGCAAAGCTTGCCGAGCAGGCTGAGAGGTACGATGACATGGCTGCTGCCATGAAGAAGGTAAATTTTTTGTTGTTGCTTAATTTGTGGCACTTGGCTGTTGAACTTTTTTAGTAATAAACTATTGCATAGGTGACGGAGACAGGGGTGGAGTTGTCTAACGAGGAAAGAAACCTTCTGTCAGTCGCTTACAAGAATGTGGTAGGTGCCAGGAGGAGCTCATGGAGGGTCATCTCATCCATTGAGCAAAAGACAGAGGGATCGGAAAAGAAGCAGCAGATGGCCAAGGAGTACAGGGAGAAGGTAGAGAACGAGCTCCGAGACATTTGCCACGACGTCCTGGTAAGTTGTTAAGGAAGTAAGTACTTCATACTACATTGGATAGTAAAAAGGGGGATGAATCCATCGGATCAGAGCTTACAGGTAGTTAAAGTATTATACCTGGTAAAGCCCAGTTATGTGCCAAAGACATGCCTTTCATCACAACTATCTCCTCTTGAGCCATATAAACCCTGTGACAAGAGTGGAAAATTTGACCTTGCAATTGTTGAACATCAAGCTAGCTGCCTTTTATCCTCAACATGTTGCCTCTTAACAGTTCATTTGCCATTAACTGCTGACCACACAAGGGTTTATGGCTGGTTTTTTTAGTTTAGTTTCTGGAACTGACAGGCACTATATCAGCAGACATTTGTGGAGTGAAAAGAAACATGGCATCTGCCTGACACACAAGGCACGCTATTCAGGTGGGTGTGAAGCATCACAATGAATGGCAGCTGTAAGAATTAGTTATTTTATATTGGTAAAAGAAATAGTGTTTCCTTGTGTACATTGTACAAAGCTGGGTAAATTTAGTTAAATCTAGACATTTGGGCTCATGCTCATTATTGATCTTAGGTGCTGCTTTATCAGAGCACATTATTCAGAGTTGGATGCAAATGCCTTAGGAAGGACTAGCTGATTGCTTTCATTTGGTACTTATTACAGTTCTTGGACATTGTCTAGGACTTACCTTTAAAATGGGCCTACATTTTCTAGATCTCATTCTGAAACCTTGGTATGTGATGTGAATGAAAATATTTTGTCATTATCAAATTGGAATTATGGGAAGCAGGATCTAACCACTTTAGCTCAATGAGGACTTCCAACAGCATCATGTGATCATTGGTAGTTCTATTGTGTTAATCCTTGCATTTTTTTCTAATAGCTGTGAAAGCAACCATGGTCAATTTAAGTTCTTATTCATTATGGATTATTCCCATTGTAAATAGTTTCTATTGAACTGAGCAGTTTGGTAGTTGGAGAAGCACCCAGCATGAATGAGTTTCTGCTCTTATTTCCATGGCAAATTGGCCTTCGGGTGAGGGGATTTTTTTTTTTCAGCCTAAAAGTTGGCAGGTAGTAGCCTCATCCAGTTCAGGTTATAACAATTCCTTGATGGATTCTAATTTGTCTTTCTGGCTGATAATCTTGCTGCACGCTTCTTGGAGTCATCTTTTGTACCTAGGGAACTGATGCAGATAGTTCACACATGGATTTCCCATCTAATTTTGTGCATCACATGACAGGTCCTTGAGGTTCTTGGCAGAGAGTGATATGTATAGAGTGCGAAATGAGACTACCAAGGAAGTCGGGAGCCAAGACGGGCTTGGCCCTTCTTCAAACATGAGGCCGTTGTAACCCGTGTTTCAGCGCCTTGGCCGACTTTTCCGTACCTCGTCCAGGCGAAAGAATTTACGCAATGTGGCTGGGATTACCGCCTGCCAGTATTTTCCATGTCCATAAGAAAACTACAAGATACTACTCGAGGGTCACGGAAGAGGGGTCGCCTTGGCTAGGTTCCGTTTATCGAAAGGGCTAATGATAAATGAAAGGGAGGAAGTCGATGCTGAGAAGGCTATGAAAATGCGATGCGTGCGAGCGTGGGTGGCGCATTCCGTGGAACGTAGGTGTGCGTGCGACGTAAGAGCGCAATACACATGCGCAATTGTCCCAAGCCGCACGTCCTTTATTTTTCCTTTCCCCCATCTTATGTCGGGGGTCGAGGGGAGCCCGCCAAAATGACTCATCAGCATAGCACCATGAAGAGTTCTGTGATTCTCATTCAATTCACCGCTATTTGGTGGACTATGTAAGGAAAAGAAGAGACCCGAACAAACTTGAGGGGAGCAGAATTCATATCGATTTAGCTCAGCAGAGACATGGTTGGGTCTTCGCCTGCTTTTACCTCTCCTCTTCCCCCGGGTTTACTTTTCATTTTTCCTATTTCGCTCTCCTGTACACGGTATGCTGAGCTCACATCCCCCATCCTTTCCTCCTTCCCTTTCCACTCACGTCAAGGGGAAAATGAGCTGCGTGAAAATCGGAAAGGTCTTCACTCGGGAACGTCAAAGGAAAATGAATGCCATATCATTCGGGCTTGTCGGTGGGTAATGAACACGGGGATGGGCTTTTGATCAGCTTTCTCCCACTCGCGCAGAGGATTACGACCTGGAGGATTTCTATCCTCTTTGCCTTTGGGAAGATCGTCTGTAATTGCCCCGCCAGCTTCTTCCATCCCAAGACGATCGATTTTCATCTGAATTCATTGCATTCCCAGGATTGATATGTATTCATGGGAAATGAAAACGGCTAGATTTAGTTTGCATTGGTGCCATTCACCTCCAGGTCTGTTTCTAGAGACTGAGGTGGGTAACATTCTTGTTCCACTCCGTTGCTTCCTCGGACGACTCCATACCCGACTTCTTTCGTTTTATTAACCCGGGACATGCCACTGGGGCTGTTCGATAGACCATCCCTTCCTCATTGCATTATGTAGAATGTTGCTGGTGTTCGGGGTTTAGAGCCTCTATGCATTCTCCCTCGCTCATGAATTGCATTTCTCTCTTTTATTTCAGGGTCTCCTGGACAAGTACCTCATCCCAAAAGCCAGCAACCCTGAATCCAAAGTGTTCTATCTCAAGATGAAGGGAGACTACTATCGGTGAGATCCCTTTTTTATTTCAGTGATTGGAGGGCTTTTTTCATGGTGTTGAATGTGATTTCATGGTCCTCGCAGGTATTTGGCAGAAGTTGCCACCGGAGACTCTCGAAACGGTAAGTTTTATTAATTTTTTTTTGTAATGGGAACCTCGAATGCTCCCCGCATCAAAAATAGCGATTGGCTGTTTTAGAAGCTACCTGGATATTAATTATTTGAATTGTGGAATGTTTGGAGGGGTTTCGTATGGGAGCGGATGGAAGAGGGCGGGATAAACGGAAGCAGTATTACTCCGCTACTTCCGGCGATTATTAATGCCTGCTGTATTTCAGGGCAAGTTTTGTCCCCCTTTTTCGTTTTTGCCATGCCCTCCCATTCGTGGCATCGCGATACGGTATTGGTTTCATCGTAATATGGCCGTCTGGACCAGTGGGACTGGGGTGACTCCTCTTCACTGTATAAATAGACACGACGATTGCGTCACTCCAGAGAGCATTGTATGGAGATACGGTGACATGTTGCGACACCCGTTGTCGCCCTGTGGTCTTCTCTCCTGCCCCCATGACGTCGTTAGTTGCCCCTTGATGGCATTGACAGAAGAGAAGAAAGCGTAGTTAAAAGTAGAACAGCTTGTTGAAAAGTAACTAAAGTATTTCTAAAGGGAAAAGCAGCTATTATGCGGAAGCAATTTTTTAAAGTTGTTTTTTAAATGAAATTTTAGTATATTCATGGGAACTGGATTGCAATTTTGCTTGCTTTCAAAATGTTTCCAGTAATCCACGAGCGGATAAATATTAATTCCTGTTCATATAAATTTAAAATAGAAAATTCTGAGACTGACAGGACCAGTGGAGGCTTATCCGCATATCGACCGAAAAGCCTTTTCGTTCTTGACCAAAGTTTCGGCGAGCATCAGCGACTGAAGTGTTCATGGGTTCATATCACTTCGTCAAAGAAAAGGAAAGACCGGCATTCAGCGAGTGTCAATGCAAACGCCGGAGTGTATTCCATGAAGTCCGCTTCGCCTCTTAAATGCCCCCTGAATTCTCGTCAGAATTGAGAAGAAACGTGATGCCTGTTAGAATGGGTGCAGGGGGTGGAGTCGAGTAGAAACTGGTAGGAAAAGGAACAAAAGCTATCAAGGTCGATCCGCTCCGTGAATCCCCCCCTCCTATTGACTGGCCCAGTGAGTTGGGGAAGGAAGGAAGGAGTGATCGATACAGAAGAAGGGAGTGTATGATCTGACATCCTTGCATTCCCCGTGATGAGAGATCCTATTCCAGATAATCAGGGGAAATTGACTTTAGATGGACAGCTCCTTGTAGAATGGAAAGTTGGTGCCACGATTTCAAGGCCTGGCCTTTTCATGTTGGGGACAACGCAGTCTCTAAGTGTCTGTACTCTGAGGGATCATGCCTCGTTCTGGCGCCCTCGAGAATGATAAGTCACCTCGTCATATTCTCGGAAATATCGGGATCATAAGTCGCAGATAAAGGCGGTATCTGATGTTTGGGGAGGGGATAGGTTGTCGAGCGATGTGGTCTCATCCAAAGGTCACCCTACAGCGCAAATAACGGAGAGTCCGCGTAAAGAGTGGAATGCCTTTCCCTCAAGGAATCCGGAGACTGGTGTTGTGGTCAAATTGAATGAGTACATGGTGCACGGAACACTTAGTCACGATATCCCTCCGTGTTACACCTCGCCGTAGTTCGTGCATTCCACTTTCTAAGAACTAGAAAAGCACCATGAATAATTTATTTTGTTCCTCTTGGGGAAATATCCAAGGCTGTCTTCGCATTTCGTAACGTGTCTTGCGTACACTGCTTGGAGATGAGACCTCTAAAAAGGGAAGCGCAAATAGGGGAAGGGTCTGGAAAAAAGTGTGAATATGAGTAATGTGATGAACATGATGGGTATGTTAGCCGTGGTGGAAGATTCCCAGAAGGCGTATCAGGAAGCTTTCGACATCGCCAAGAGTAGAATGCAGCCAACTCACCCCATCCGACTCGGACTGGCGCTGAACTTCTCAGTCTTCTATTATGAGATCCTCAATTCACCTGACAAAGCCTGCCAGCTAGCCAAACAGGTCTGTGAGAGATTTAAAATAAATGTATTCGAAAACTAAAAAACCGAGAGAAAGAGGAATGAATGAGGGAAAAGGATCGAACACATCCGGGAAAATGAAGTCCCCAAAATCTTCAAGTGGAAGTGCCCTGTTCCCGTTCTTGAGCATGGGTCTTTCCATGATAATGGATTATTCCTGTTAAAGGCATAAGTAATGATGGTGGGGAAACTGGATGTGTTTGTATCGTCCAGGGGTGGTGGAGGAATCCCAAAAGTCCTACCAAGAGGCGTTCGACATAGCCAAGTCGAAAATGCAACCCACTCACCCCATTCGATTGGGTTTGGCGCTCAATTTCTCCGTCTTCTATTACGAGATCCTCAGCTCACCTGATCGCGCCTGTCACCTCGCAAAACAGGTCTCGTTTTTGCTTTGGCCCCGGCAGCTGCAGTTACTATCTCACCCAGTCTTATGAATATATTACTAACATGAGGCCAGCGTAAAGCCTGCTTGTACGCAGTAGATGTAACCTATAGATATCATGCTAGTCCAGTGGTTGGTTTGTTCATGCGTAGAGACGAAATTGATGAAGAAAGAGAAATTACCTCTGAAATCTTGGCTATGATCGGCATACCTCCCATCACCCCTTTATTTGAATGAGTTAGAGAGAGCGCGAGCGTGTGTGCGTGCGTGAGTGATCGAGAGTAGACCTTGGCTGCATTGCATTGCCATCCTCTGTCCTTGGGTAAAGTTGGCACTCATCGCGTCTCTTTTGCATGCCCTTTTTCTTCTCCATGGTTTGTGCGTGCCAACCATGTTTCTCTTTCTGCCTGTGTCGTGAGTACAATAATTAGTTTTGGTTTCCATTTCTATCACCTCTTGCATGAAACTGCCCACGATGTGTGAGAAGTATTTCATGACATGGGAAGATTGTATCCGTTTCTAGAAATACCTGCTCGCCTTGCTGCTTGGGCTTGGCCATCTGCCCGTAGATGCACATTTCACTAGTGCCATAGGCGTCTCTTGCCCTTCTATGGCCATCAAAGTTCTCTCTTTCTCTCTGCTCTCTGCTCTCTCCTCTCCTCTCCTCTCTATCTCTCTTCCTATCCATCACTCACCTCTTTGACTGGGTGAAATGCCAGCCGAGTTACAGCTTCTGGGATGGTTTTGAAAACTATGCATGAACTACTACTACGTGATGGAAAAGACTCGCTTTGATCGTGTAATTCACTGGAATGTGGCTGTTCTTAGACGTCTATTTGAAACCCAGGGATTAAGCAGGATGTGTATCAAGTCAAAACAAGAGAACGCCCTAGGCTGTACCGTTTCGGGCCCGCTGCAAGGAGCCAACAGGTCCTTCAGTCAGTACGAACAGCAAGTCCGCATTACAGCATGTTGCGTTATCTCATTTTTATTCAGTGCACGCCTCATTTACTATTCCTTGGGTTGCTGGAAGTATATCAGAGAAAGTTCCGTGCGTTTACTGCTAATATATCCCTAACAATGAACTGACGGTTCCAGTGAGGCAAGTGTTTAAAAGTGAGTTTTTTCCATCACCCAGTAGAACCAAGGTTTTCCTTTTAAAATGCGGATGAAAAGCTGGAATAGTGAAGCGGAATGAATCGTCTTGGCTTCAGTGTTCACAGCTTCGAATTCTGGAAAACTTGGGTTCTTTGGAGTAGGATGGAGTGTGGATGATTTCCATATGAGATGTGGGACTGAGATTGTGGATGGTGCATGGAGAAAGGTGTTGGAGATGGTGGATGTATGGAGAGATTCGGATGTGTTCTAGGCGTTCGACGATGCGATAGCGGAGCTGGACACCCTGAACGAGGACAGTTACAAGGATTCTACGCTTATCATGCAGCTCCTTCGAGATAACCTCACACTATGGACATCGGATACCCAAGGGGAGGGAGATGAGCAACCGGAGGGAGGTGACAACTAGTGACATCATGCCCCCGCCCCCTCCTTCATTCCCCTCCCGTTCTATTTTCCCCTCCCACCATCTTCTATTTCCCCCACCCTCCACCCCCCACCTCCTCCTCCAAGCATCTTTGAGAAAATGAAAGAATGCATGGCAATTAAGGTGGACGATGATGCTGTCAATATCTACATCCCGGGGACTCCTGTGATCCAAAGGAAAAGCCAAGCAAGGGAGAAAGAGAAGACCCCGTGGAATCCAGCTTTCGCCAGCCCAAGCGTTTATTTTGGGGGGTGGGAGGAAGGTTCGTTCTCTTTCGCAGCTCCCCCTTTTACAGGTTTTTTGTCATTTCTATCCCGACTGAATTTCCATCAGAACTTCTTTGGATCTAAAAAAAATAATTTAAATAAAAAGGAACATTGAAGAACATTGCAGTTGAGAGAAAGGTGTGGCCGTATTATTTGCTCATTTGTGTCCCAATTTTCACCCCCTGGTCAAAACGAACGGTGCTCACAGCACAGAAAAAGTGTTACTAGAGAGGGAAAGAAATCATATCATATTCCTGAAGGATTGTAGCAGCTCTTTCTGTTCCGGTTTCACCCCTCGTCTCGTTCTCACCACCTTAAGGACTTTGCTTCTCCTTCCTTGTCAGAGCCGGTGTCTGCCAAGCTCGGCTGGACCAAAATTCCATTGTCGGACAATTGTTTTTTCTACATCAGTGGCTGTCGTTTATTATGTACAAAGAGAAAAACCACAAAAAAATTTTGTATCGTTCATTGGCTGTCTGGTTTTACTCTCTTTCTCTGCCCGATATGGAAGTACAGTATACGATGGCGGCTGTCTCGGTCTCTCTTCCTTTCCTCTCTTGTCTCGAACCACTCAATGGCGGTGAGGCAGGAAAGAAACAGCATGGTTGTAGCACACTGTGACACTAGGCAATTAATTTACTGGCAGATTTTGTTTTCGTCCGATTCAGCTGCAATGTCGTTCAACGGTTTGTCATTCTTTCCGCTTGGAGAATAAAACTAAATTCTGGATGAATCACCTGTCGTATCATTTTATTCATGGCTGCCAAGCATTGGAGTCAAAATGGATCGTACTCGGTGAGACTTGGTTCGATAAGGCGTAACAGATAACCGGTACTCGACCAGGTATGATTCATTGCATGTGACTCGATTCAGGATGTTAGACAATCACGGAAAGCTTTCGCCATGCTGGGTGGTTGGCAGGGAGGGGAGGGGGAGAATGACTACGTCTTGCAACGGCGCATGATCCTCAATCGGAATCGGGGTGGGGTGGGGAGAGCGAGCGAGAGAGATCGATGCCGGGCTCGGCTCGACTAGTTCCGCCTGGTGGCTGGGGGGCGCTTGCCTGGGACTCGGTCGGGCGTCGGAATGGCCGGCTGCGGCGAGGCAAGGGAATCCATACTCCCCTCCCCAGTCAATGACGTCAGCCGGATTCCTCCTACTAGGGGGAAGCACGTGTCGAGCTGGTGGGCTGGGAACTTTCGGTTGCACGGCAGCGAAACTCTTACCGGCGCGATGCTCTTCGGAAGAGGCAGAGAATGCCTTCGGGATCCGATTGGGCTCTGCTGGCCAGACGCAATTTTTGCTAAGCTCCCGCAAGCTATTCCAATGCAGTGGCTGTCCCACCCAATCGTAATGGTTTCCCTTCCTTATCGGTGTTTATCGCCGTTGGCCTCAATCAGAGTCTCCCTGATGCCTTATAGATCAGGAACGGCTCCTTCCCTGTGGCACTTGCGCGATCAGGATTTGGGGTTCCAGGGAAAAAGTATTTACTCCACATTCCCCTTCACATGCCACCGCATGTGAACGGAAGTCGAACGATTTTGCAATGAGGAAACCCTTATCGTTATGCCGCGTAGAACTTGGAGGAAAACGAGTACGAGGGTAAAATCCTGCAATATGGATTAACTGTTTATCGCCGTTAATCCTCAGGAATTATAATAACTAATCCCCAGCATATTGCGCATAAGGTGGTGTACTTGTATTCTCTTGCTAATTGTTGCTTGGGTGTGGTTTCTTAAAACGTAATTTATTTTTTTTTTTACCGTAAAGCTTATTTCGCGTGGGTTTGGCTTTCGCTTTCCAAATTGAATGCGAATTAGAGTCCTGCGAATTAGCACCCTTGGAAGAGCAAATGTCATGCGTATCCCTTCATGCATGCTAGCGAACCTCGCCAATGAGCCTTCTTCACGCTCTCTGGCACTTGAAAGACGCCTACTCGATGCTTTCGCACAGAAGCAAAAGCTAATGGAAAGTGACATCCGAAGCGATGAATGGCCTGAAATTTAAGGCGTATTGTGATGTTATGCCGTGGAATTGACTTTGGAAGGAAAATCATGTTCTTCTTCGGTGGTGCAATGAAAGGAGGGTACTGGTTAAAAAGAAAGTGTCATTACCGCGAAGTTTTAGCTCGGAGGGGGAAAAAGGTTTCATCACCCAACTACTAGTACTTCATAAAGTTGAACCAAATGTTAGTTACTTTGGTAAGTGCAAGTATATAGGACGTTTGATAGACTGGGATAGGATTGCGATGCGTTTCATAAAGGCCAAAAGGTAGGCCGTCTAAGACTGACTTTAAAACGGTACTTCGGTTCTAGTTTCATTTCAGCCTTTGATCTGATTGAAGTTCATCTGTGCGCTTGTAGACTTATATCGCAAAGATATCTTAACTGGGAGTGAACCGAGACTGAACTGCGGTCAGCCTAAGATAATTTAAGACTGGTGCATTTAACGAAGATCTCACGAGATGGAGTGATAAATCTGAGCCACGAAGGAATGATTTTGTTGAATTCGTTCATGTGGCATAGGTGCTTGATAATTACAACGGTACTTCTACTTCGGTGCTTCGGAAAGGGAAGCAGGAAATCCCGTATTTACTGGACGGACTAAAAAGTCCAAAATGGGCCTTTATTTATTAATAACCAGAGAGCAAAAGCTTAAGAGCAACGCATTCGAATACTCCTTGTATTTGACCAAGTCATCGACAAGAAGCAGTGGACATGGCCTCCACATTCAGAAGTGTCAAACCCAAGTCCTGCGCAGGAGCAAATTAGATTTCGCGGAAGAGGCCACCTGAATGGGAAGCCAATAAAGGAGAGCAGAAAAGGGATTCCAAGCAATCTCAGGCAAGGACGAGAGGAGGAAAAAAAATCCCAATGCTTTTCTCGAAGCACAAATCTTTTGTGACGTGCTTTTTCATGGCTTGTCATTCCTCTTCGACGCATTTCCCCTCTTATATCATAACGAATAGTGAATACTGGCTTCGTGTACGTGGGATGAAGCTTTCTGGGTGAATTTTGTGCCAATCCTCCGTGCGGAAATTAAGTTTCGGTACACACGACTGGAATGATTGCTCAGGGCCGCTTTTCAGCCAGATTATTAGAACAGGAAGTCGACTTGCACTTGCAAAATCGGCTTATATTGAAAAGTTCCTTGCTAGCGCAGGGTCCCGTCGAATCAAATACATTTTTGGTGACGTGTTGACGTTGCATATGTTGACGTGCTTTCAAATGTGCTGTTGCATGTGTCGGAATCTCAACATTTCTGCTTCCCGTTTATTATGACTGGACGCGAACGAATGCGAACGCCAGAAATCGAGGTCAGCCCCGCGATGTTGTCGCATCATCGCGATGAGTCCTCGCCTTGGGTGGCACCGCGATGCCCAAGATCGGAGCGTTAACAGCGTCGATGCCATCGCGGAAAGGAGGAAAACATTCCGTCAGTCGCCTCAGACATCTGCCCCATCTCTTCGTCCCGAATTCAGTACATGTGCCAGTCGCGAATGACAGCGACATGTACCTTCAAGGTTCACTCCCAGCCTCGGAATCCGACTCGTGGCGTCCGTTCCTGCACGTTCTTTTTCCGCCTCGTTGGGATTCCTTACAGTCGATCGAACGGTCCGACCGAAGGACCAGTTTTATGCCGGTTCACTTTCAGGGTCCTTACTTGACATTTTGAGGAATGATGCATTGGGATTTCACGTATGAATTTGCGCGAACTACGTAAAATATTTATTGAACGCGTTCGGCACCGTCGATCGGTCGGAGCACTCTGATTTCTCGGCGGTGTTGATAAGCGGCGAAGGTCGCTTTATTTATTCAAAGGAACGAATCGAAAGGCTTCCCTTCACGGATTTTTCGTTTTCGAGTAATTTGACTGCATCTTTGTGGCCGCTCTTGAACTCGTGGGTTGCATAAACATGGGAACCAGGGCCCGGTCGGTCACGGCATAATAAAGGTCGAGACCCGTCGTGTGAACCGTTGAAAGGTGCCGAAAGCGGTCGAGACCTGTCGAAAGCCGCCGCTCGAAAACATCTCAAGGCCGACGTGTATGCGTGAAACGAGTCTCCGTCTCTCGCGTGCGCGGTGAGAGGATGAGTCATCCATCGTCTGGGGGCGTGAGAGGCAGCCCCCCCCCCCTCCTCGGATCCCCCTCGTCGCTGCGAGAACGGCGGAGACAGTTATGTGATTGCTTGCCCGCCGCAGCCGAGAGCCATTTCACGTCGACTCGACCGGTTTTCTCGTATCCGCAGGAAGCAAGACATGATGGCTCCAAGCTTGGTGGCCCCTATGTGGGTTCTTGGGTTGCAACTGCATATCACATACAAAAGTTCGCTCCTAATTGAGCTCGAGAGGTGTTTTATGTCATTTTTATCTCTCATTTATATCCTTCTAATGCAATCAGATTCAAATATATATTAATTATTAAACATTAAAATTTTTATCTGTGAGCACCACAGATAGTTGACACAGGCCAAGACGCCAACTCAATCGAGTCGAAACTTTTAAAAAATATAGTTCATGGTCCCGCTGTTAATGTACAAACTCGTATGTGTTTTTCTTGCAATTGACATAAGTCACAGACGAAAAAAGAGGTCAAGCGAGTGAGAGAGAAAAGGGGTCGCGTCGACACGGAACGCCCCTCGATCGAAGCTGGAAAGGGAAAAGGACTCCTCGGGTTTCGTGCCTCGCTCGAGGTCGGTCGTGGACCGCGCGTCTCTCCCGACTCGAGAGCTCGCGTGTGGGACGGATCGCTCTTCCGTGACACACGTGCACACGCGGTCGCCGAACTGGGATGGCTGGAGTACGGAGGAACGCAGAAGCGGCGTTGTTCTACCTCGCCGGACGAACAGCCTCGTATGGGTTAAAACGTGCGGCGGAGATTGCAGGGTGGTCCGATCGAAACGAGGCTGAATCGTGGTTGTACGTCCAGGAGAGGCTGGAGAAGTGCATCGTGACCGATGTCCATTTCCTCGAACGTGTGCTGTCGTAAATTTTTAGTGGACTCTCCTGTATGCATATGAAATGAAAATACATGCAAAATTTTCTCCCCAATATCGGATATTGAGAAGACGGGGCCCAAGCGCTCTCCCTTTAAATTATTGCCGCCCCCCTCCCCCCCAACTCCTCCCATGGACCATAGGTAGCATATATAGTGTAATTCAGGTGTTATTTGACTTTTATTGCCCGTGATAACTTCCTATCTTGGCCCATCCTCCTTCAGCCATTTTTAGATCCGCCACTGCTCGACGGAAATGATAACCATGTTCAAATGCGACGTGTATTCTTTCCTTTTCCTCGTCTGTCAAACTCCACTGCCTCGGATGTTCACGGCTCATGCGATTTCTCCAAATAAAGTAGTTTTTTAGATTCGCACGTGGCTCACAGCCGACAAATACATGGCCCTTGCCTGCATTCCTGGAAAAAATAAACAATTTATGGGATTCCCGTATGGGTTGCTCGAAACGAAGGATGCGAATTCTTTCCTCCTCCTCGAGTGGAATCACAGTTCGCCACGCACGTGGAGCGAAAAGATGGATGACTCCTTCTTTACCTTGTCATTCCATTTAGGCGCCAGAGATTTCAAGGTTTTCATCCTTTACGGGAGCGGAGTGAGGAAAATCCCTTCGCTTCGGAAGCTGTGATCGCAGTCGGGGGGGGGGGGGGAAAGTACCAGTCGCTGGGTGACAGCAGTTGCAACCGTCGATCGAATCGACTCCTTCGGGAGGCGTTTCGCTGCTTTAGTGTGCATCGTATCCGACAGAGGGCTGCTAGGTGATCGGGGGCCCTTCGCCCCCTGGCGTTTTCGGCCCTGCCATTCGGACTCGATGACCGAGTTCGAGGAACTTAGCGACATTCTTAGCTGGACGCCGTTGAGCCGGCCGGAAAGTGCAAACTCGACCCGATGGGTTGGATCACGGAGTGGATTTGGATCTTTCACCGAGTCCATTGTATGCAAGCCCCGTTTCTGAGAAATGTGAGAGGGCTTTCTCACTTTGACGCCTGGGGACTGGATCGTTAGAAGCGAGAACGAGGTTTTCTTTTTTTTTATTCATGGGAATACTCGCGTAGCTACATCTTAGCTGGAATTGCCCGCTCAGAGACTTGAACATCACTGGTTCGCACACAAAAACACTCAAATTCGACAAGGGAAAAGTACGGAGAGGCTAAACGTCCATTCTGCCCTTTACCGACCATGACCCCGACAAACGACCCGTTGAAGGCGAGTGAACCCATGAGAGAGAGAGAGAGTCTTGCCGGAATCTCGATCGAGAGGAGATTCCCAGCGAAAGCCGATGTATGAGATTGATGAATTTCTCATGGAATCGACCCGTGCAAACGTCAGGATCCCTGCCTCGCGTGCGACCGATTCTGCCGTCAGAAACGACTGGAGCTTTTTTTTTTTTTGCTCGGGACACCCCTCACGAAAACTATCTTCTGGGAAAAGCGATAAATTCTTAGGTATGCCTTTATGAAGGACTTTCCCCCGGGTCGGAGTCCGGACGTCCCAGATATGCAGACCTTTCGTGTATATTTATGGGGGTCATAAGACAGCCCTCATTTTTCACACGTCAAGTGAGGTCGGATAGCAAAAAAAATTGTTTCGACTTTTCCTTGGAGATATCGAATAGGAGAAAAAGTCATGACAATGTCTGTTCGCTACAACGTATTTTAAAATCTCCTAAGGTTCGTCAGGGAACATTCTCTATTTCTTCTCCGAATTTCTACTCGATGCAGCGGTTGCGAGAGGAGTGCTAATGCGACGAAGAATTGAGGATTACCTCAACCTCATAAACGTGATGGCTTCTAAAGCCGCAAAGGAAAAGAGCGTATTTGTCACCATTTGCGAGACAGCGTCGTGTCCCTTCGAGCCTAACGAGTGCCTCGACTAGAATTCGCTCTTCCCCCCCCCCCCCCCTGACTTTTTTGGGTCCATGGACTTGGAAGAAGCGAAACCTTCTCAAAAATTGTTTTTGGCTACTCCACTGGTCGGACGGGGGATCGCAACTCGGCCCAGATCCGTAACGCGTTCACAAAATCTAAATGCCCCGTCGAAAAATACAGAACTCGAGCGATGCGTCACGCCTGCGTTCCAGACAAAAACGGGTACCTTGGGTGCCTCGATGGAGATGGTACGCCCGTTGGCATCCACCCGTGGATGAGAGGATGCATGCCCCGGCTGGCCGTGGCCGAAGCCACCCGTGTGAGAGGTCAGTCGTGTGAGAGGTCAGCCGTGTGAGAGGTCAGTCGTGTGAGAGGTCAGTCGTGTGAGAGGTCAGTCGTGTGAGAGGTCAGTCGTGTGAGAGGTCAGCCGTGTGAGAGGTCAGTCGTGTGAGAGGTCAGTCGTGTGAGAGGTCAGTCGTGATCGAGGCCAGCTGTGTGAGAGGTCTACTCGACGCAGGGGTTGCACTGGTTGGTAGCTGAAATGCGATTTCCTTCTCCTCTCGTCGTTTCCACCGTCCGACTCGTGCTCCAAGTACCTTCAACGCTCCGATTACACCATCCGAAAAAAAAATAATTTAAAAAAGCGGCGGATCCGTTGCGGATGGGACGATCCCTTCCCTATTCCCTCGATCGCCCCATCGAAACTCCTACACGAGTCGTCGCGTACGATGTCCCGAACGAGGGGGAGCCGAGAGGAAATCGTCGCGATCGGTGAGCGGAATTTCGAGCGACGAACGAGGAAAGAGAGGGCAATATCCACTCGAGCTCGAGAGCGCCGAGTGCTTCTCCTTGGAACGGTGGAATTGTATTGCGTCGATGAAGCCTTTATCCTCCCAGGATCCGAATCGGGACGGAAAAATGGATGAAAGTGTCGCCCGGTTGCCTCTCGGCGACTGGGGCCGACCCCAGTCGCCGATAGGCAACCGGGCGCGGGATCCGTCGCAGGGCTCACGCGGAATGCGTACCGATCCCTTCTCATCGATGGCGTCACCTCGATTACCCGTCAAGTTTTTTTTTTTTTTTTTAAGCCGTTTTGCGAAGTCGTGAACCGGCGCCAGCGTTGGCCAGAAACAGCCAAAAACTCGATTTTTTTGTGGCCCTCAGAGAGAAGGGCTTTCTCTCTTCCTCTTTTTTTCCCCTCTCGATCCGAAAGCAGCTCGGATTCCTTCGGTCTCCTTTCCTTCCTTTTCCTTCTAACGATGGCAGCGAAAAAAAATGCGTGACCCCGAAAGGAAAAGGTGATAGGGCGAAGCGATCGATGATTCGAGACGTCGTCACGTCACCGGCGACGGCGCCCTGCGTTTCCTTCCCGTTCGCCGAAAGTGTGTGAACTATTTTTATTTCTTTTTATTTTTCGATCGCGTGAAGCGGTGAAGCGACGCGGGAACGGCCGGATGCGAAACGCCGCGACGAGCGACCGATACTTCGCGTCGGCGATTTCCGATCCCGATCGGAATCGAATCGCCTTCGCGGATCGGATTTTCAAATGAGAAAATCCGACCCGAATCGCGTGGGATCTTCGCTTTTTATCGGAAAAAAGTGGTTCGTGGAAAAAGTCCGAGAACGCGATTCGCCGGACGCACAGAAAATAAGATTCTCGAGATTTACGGGTCTGATCGTTCGTCCTTGACGGTTTCGTGGGGAATTTCTTTTCCCGCGTTTTTTCGTTCGCTTTCTTTTCGAGTCGCATCTTCGGAACCGCACGGATTCTGCAGACGATTTTTTGTATCGTAAGCACGATGCCATCGTTCGTGGCAGGGTCCCTCCGAGTTCCTTCGAGTCGTTTCGATGCCAGGTCGATGACGTCATCCGATTCACAGTTTTTCGAGCGTTAATCGAAATCTTAATCGACGATTTTGGGGGAGTCGGTGCTTCACCGCGTTCCTATGCGGAGTTTAATCGAACTTGTGATCGATTACGATGAAACCGCGATCGGCCCCCGTCCGATCGAGTCGCCTTGCTTTCATTTCGATGCGTCAGACTGTCCCTGACTTCCCCCGTGACGCTTTTCTACCGCGGTATTTCCTCAACTTTTTTAATCGAGGGGGGGCGGGGGGCGAGGTGAGGGGGGGGGGAGGGGCATCCGGTCGTGACCAGCCTCATGCGGGTCGCACTCAAAAAAATGGCTTGGTGGTATCAGTGAAAAATTCCTCCTTGCTGTGCGTTTTGTCTTGGACCACATGCAGCTCGCGGGCCGCCGTTCGAGTATCGCCGCTCGACCGTATTTCTCTTTCCCGGAATGCAGAACTGCATCCGAGCGGGAACGGGTTCCCCGATGTCGATCGATCCCCCTCTCCGTCGCGTCCGTCTTCCCCCGCGTCCGTCTTCCCCCGCGTCCGTCTTCCCCCGTGCCCGACGCGGAAGGACGCGCGAGGGAACCCGGAAGAAAGGCGGGACTCCTCGGGAGCTCGGCCGAGGCGAGGACGCCGATCCCCCGACGTGCGAGTCCACGCACGCGTGGCGTGAGAACGTCGTCGGTTCGGATCGAGAAGGCGACGACCCGGTTCGTCCGGACCGTGTCGATGCGTTCGACGTCGTCTGTCGCCACGGCAGGCGCGGATCGCTCCCGCCCGTCGTCTCCACCGCTCACGCGAGCCCGTCTCCATCGAGACCGTTCGCTGGGAGGGGAAAAAAAAGTGGAAAAAAAGTGGAGAAGTGGAAAAAAAAAACGAATCGGATGTCGCTTGGGAGTAGATGGCTTTAATTCCGTGGAAGATGTTGGCATGTCGAGGTTGGACGTTCTCGCGAGTCGGTGCGGACGTACATCCTGTTGCTCTTCGGACCACCTTTTCCACGTTTCGGACGATGAGTTCTCGGTTCAGAAGCCCCCGACGAAACGTCGCCAGCTGTCGCACCGGAGAGCCAAACTCGTAGCCATATGATGCGAATCTGGCACCGTCTTTAGTCTCTTTTCCACGAAAGGGGTGGCCGCGTTCATCGAGCTTTCCGCTCGGATGATTTTTTTTCGGAAAACGATCGCGGCGAGGTGCGTGCGAAGCGGAGCGTGTTACGTGCCGTTACGGTTCCGTAACGTCGGGGCGGGGGGGGGGGGGGGGGGGGGGGCCCTC